TCAGAGAGTCGGACAATGAGTAGGGAGGATAGAAGGAGAATTGATGCCTTTTAGCTGTGGTGCTGGAAAAGAGTATTGAATGTACCCTGGACTGCCAAGAAAACAAACAGATTCATCCTGGAGAGGGTTAAACCAGGCTACTCCTTGGAGTCAAGTACTCTGGGGCTTTGTCTGACATAATTTGGACATGTAAGGAGAGATAGGTCTTTAGAGAGGGACATCATGCTGGGTAGAGTGGAGGCACAGCGCAGGAGGAGAAGACCCTCTATGAGATGGATTGATTCAGTGACTGGGGCACTCGTGATGGGTGTATCAGAGGCAGTGCGGTTGGCGCAGGATAGAGCAGGGTTTAGGGCTGTTGTACATAGGTTCGCTATGAGTCGCAAGCGACTCGACGGCACATAACAACAACAACATCACTGCAATGAAAACACAATGCTTGCAGGTGACCTGTAACACTGTAGTCAAGGAGATCAGATGTATTGCACTAGCAAAGTCTACAATCAGGGGCCTCTCCAAATTATTGAGGAGCAATGATGTTAGTTTGAGGACTAAAGTACGCCTCATTTAGGCCATGGTCTTTTCAATTACTGGCTATGCTGCTGAGAGCTGGAGAGTGAATAAGGACGACAGAAGAAGCACTGATGTCTTTAAACAGTGGTGATGGAGTACTTAATACCCATGGACTGCCAACAAAACAAACTGATATGTCTTGCAAAATGTGCAGCCAGACTACTCCTTGGGGCAAAGATGATAACACTTGATTTCATTTACTTTGGGTATGTTGCTATGAGAAGGATATCATGCTTGGGAAGGTGCAGGGATGGTGAACAAAAGGAAGACCCTTAACTGGTGGATTGACAAAGTGATGGCAACGATGGGCTCAGGTGTGTCAGAGATTGTGAAGGCGTCACAGGATAGGACAGGGTTCATATTTGTTGTTCATAGGGTCATTATGAGTCCTTGACTTGACTGTACCTAACAACAGCAACAAGAGATAAGACAACAAAATCCTAGAATGATTGTTCCAGGGGTTGACCACCCAGACACTCCAGCTTCCAACACAGTCCCAGGCTTATCTGCATAAGATTTATGGAAGGAGGTGGGGTTGCAGCAGTATTTCCCATACTTCTCATGGTGAAATCTAAGAACAAGGTCTTACCTTAGCAGCTCCTATTTGCTCCTTTCGAAATTTCTCCAAGGGAGTGATGAGTACTTCACTGGCATTCTCAATCTGGAAAGAAAAAAAAAGTAGGGGAGGGAACCCCACAAAAGCAGATCAGTAAAGTACAACAGCCATGGCATGTTAGCTCAAAACCTGAGCAATGCTGTGTGTGTAGTTCACTTCCCACAACACTTGAACTTAAGAGCATGTCAATTCAAAGTCTAGTCATCAGTTCCTTTTGGGCCTGATTAATAACAATTCTTTGGAGGTCAAAACAAGGAACTCTAAAAACCTCAGCGAACATGCGAACAGAGAGGACAGCTGGTGACAGACTAGTCTAATTTTCAAGTGTCTTTTCAGTGCTTATTTGCCCATGTTGTATATTTAAAGTAGATAAACCCTAACTATTATCAACCGACTAGGTCTCAAATAAGCTTGCAAACATTTTTGGTAAAGAATTTCAAATACCAACAAAGGCTATCCTAACATTTTCTGTGTACTTGAAAAAACAAAAAGTTTTTAACTGATTTAACTATGTGGGACAGACACATAGTGTCTCCCGACATTTCTGTCTCTGGAGTTTAGTAGGGCACTGCTATCCCGGTTTTAGTGCATGGTGCTATCTGATGGGGCCTAACTGCATGAATCTACAGAAATGGACCCTTACTCCACCAATCGCAGCACCAGAGACCTCACATGAGACATGGTGGCATAGCCCTTTGGTTGTTAGACTGCTAACCCCAAAGGCAGCACCTCGCCAGCAGTTCGAATCCACCAGCAGCTCAATGGGAGAGACAACTCTAGTCATGTGATTTTCGGCCTCTGAAAATCCACCGGAGGGTCAGCTAAGAATTGGCTCCAATTTGATGACAGTGAGTTGAGTTTTAACTCTATCCCACTAATTTTAGGAAACAAGAGCTCTGATGTCATAGGCCACAGGGAGTTGGCCTGCTAACCCAAAGGTCACACCTCTCTGGTGATTTCAACCTACCAGGGGCTCTGCAGGGGGAAAGGTGGGCAACCGCCTCCAATGCAATTTACAGCGTCAGAAACCCCACGAGGGTCAACTATAAATCAGTTCCATGTTGATGACAATGAGTTCAAATTATAGGGAGCTCTGGTGATGTAGGCTATAGGGTGCACTGCTAAAGGTCGTGTCTCTCTGGTAGTTCGAATCCACAAGCAGCTCCAACAGAGAAAGATGGGCAATCTCCTTCTATGTGATCAGAAATCTAATGAAGCATCAGCTAGGAGTTGGTTTCAATTTAACAACAAAGAGAATGAATTATACGAAAATCCTTATTGCCTTAATTTTTTTTCTTTTCATCTCTAATGTCTTCCATTATTAAAAACACATAATTTCTAACAAAAATTAAAAAAATTAATAAAAAATTAATTTGACCTTGAAAGGTTTAGTACTTTTAAAAAGTAAACAAGAGGTTTTATAACAACAATAAATCAATGTCCTAGTAAGATTATTAAAAAAAAGTGGACAAGACGTTCAAAGACTCTTGATAGTACATGCTTCTAGCGTTCCCCATTCACCTCAAAAAAAGTGGTTCAATCCTGAGCTTAGGTTAACAACACATACACAAACAACAACAACAAAAAAAAAACACAAACAAAAATAACACAAAACACCACTGGACATCTGGCAACCTGACAAACCTTCTAAGTGCAACCCTGGTCTGCACTGGGGTCAACGTGTCCTGTGCCCTGACCTCTGTTTGCATCTCCACTTCGTTTCACGGCATGCACTTATTCAGATTCTCTATCCTGACACACTGCCTTCTCCAATTTTAAAATGCACTAAACTCATCTCCCTCAGTACTTCTGCCTTAGCGATCTTGTCCCCAAGTCCTCAAATGGCTAGCTCTTTATTATAAAGCTTCAGATTAAAGTAGGCTGTTCCCAACCACCAATGCAATCCAAAAAAAGCTGCTCACCACTCTACCAAGTATTTTCTTGAAAACACTTATAGCAGAAGATTTCCCTGCTGACCATAAAACCTCTATTTACTGCTTGCCATTATACCCAAGAACCCAGCAGAGTGCTAGAGCAACAAAGCACCTGGAAATTTTTTAATCACCAAGTTAATGAGCTGTGGTGCTGGAGAAGAGTACTGAATGTTCCATGGACTGCCAAGAAAACAAACAGAATCATCCTGAAGAGGGTTAAACCAAGCAACTCCTTGGAGGCAAGGATTTCGGGGCTTCGTCTGACATACTTTGGGCACGTTGCAAGGAGGGACATGTCCTTAGAGAGGGATATCATGCTTGGGAGGGTGGAGGGATGGCGCAGGAGAGGAAGGCCCTCTATGAGATGGATTGATTCAGTGACTGGGGTAATCGGGATGGGAGTGTCAGATCCAGTGCGATTGGCACAGGATAGAGCAGGGTCTAGAGCTGTTGTATATAGGGTCGCTATGAGTCACAAACGACTTGACAGCACATAACAACAACAACAACAACAATGAGCATGGCAGAGACTAAGAAGATGGCACAGAACAGCGCAAGGTTTCAATCTGCTGTTCACAGGCTCACGCTGCGTCACTGACAATTTGATAGCACCTAACAACAAATGAATTCATTTCTTTTAACTGCTGCTCACTGTGTGACTATGGATAAAATATTTAACCTCTCTGCACTCAACTTTCTTCATGTGCAAAATGAGTAGCTGGGACTGTTTGAGGTCTAAGACTCTATGGTCTTTTCTACGGCCAGTATTTAACACTCTGTCTCGCACGTCATTCATTGCTCACTACTCATTCAACTAATTATTCCAGGAATCTTGTTGCAACAAAGCATTATTATCTGAATCGCATGCATCCCTACTGCAATGAAAATAAGTGAGTGAATGTGAATACCAAAAACTCTAGACAGACATAGCAAGTGAGTGAATGGACAATGTGGACAAAATGAGGAAAGTCTTCAGATTCACTTTTCCTTTTTTTCCCCAAATTGGACATTTATTTCAGGAAAACTCATTTTAATAATAGAGTTGCGACTTAACTTGATTTTTATTATTTGATGCAGTTTCACTGGAACCCTACGAACAGAGAATACTAGAAAGATGTTTTACCTATGTTTCAATGACTATGTTAAGGCACTCAACTCTGTGGATCACAATATATCATAGAAAACATTTCAAAAAATAGGCATTTCAGAATCCTGATTGTCTACATGTGGAATTTGCATGTTGAGCAGGATGCAGTTGTTTAAATGTGTCGTTTAAAATTAGGAGGTGTGCCCCTGGGATGTATTCTTTTACAACACTTATTCAATCTGTATGCTGCAAATAATCCAAGAAGCAGGAGAACATGGGTGAGGAGTGCATAAATATTCAATAACAACCTGTGAAATATAGATGAAAACAACTCGCTTGTTGAAGGAGAAGCACCCCAGCATTCAGTATGGATTACACTTCATAAAACAAGAGCCCTCACAACTGGATCAATAAGCAATACCATGATAAATGCACAAAAGACTGGAATTGTCAAGGATTCACAATTAATGATCATGGGTGCAGAGGCCAAATAAAATTATATATTTCATTGAGCAAATCAGCTGCAAAAGACTTCTTTAAAGTTTTCAAAAGCAAAGACATAACTCTGAAGACTAAGGTGGGCCTGATCCAAGCCATGGTATTTTCAATGATCTTATATGCATATGAAAACTGGACAAGAAATAAGGAAAACCAAAGCAGAACTCATGCTTTTGAATTACAGTATTGGCAAAGAATCCTTACAGTATCTTAGATCACCAGAAGAACAAACAAAATTGGTTTTAGAATAAATGCAACCAGAGTTCTCCTCAGAAGTAAAGATGGTGAGATTCTTCTCACATACTGTAGACATCTCAGGACAAATCAGGCCTCAAAGAACATACTGCTTGGTAAAGTAGAAGACAAGCAAAACCAAGGAAGATCCACAAAGAGAAGAACTGACACAGTAGTTGCAACAATGGACTCAAAATAGTAACAAGAGCAAAGAAGGCCACAGGACTGGGATGTGCTTCGCTCTGCTAGACACAGGATTGTTTCGAACTGGAACCAACTCAAAAGCACCCAACAGCAGCTGGTTCACTTGGTTTTTTCCATAAATTAGCCATAAGTCTCTAAAGCTCCTAACAGAGTGCTGACCCCCTAGGTCAGTGGTCCTCAATCCTACCTAGAGTTTAGAATCATCTCAGGGTTTTCAAAATATTCCAATGCCCAAGGCATACTCTTTATCACTGTTGTTGTGTGCTATTAAGCCTGAACAACCCATAGCTGACCCTCCAGTGGGTTTACAGAGGCAGTAAATTGCATGGGAGAAGACTATCCAACCTTCCACAGAGCAGCCGGTGATTTCAAACTGCATGCCTTTGGGCCTACAGTGCACCTTCTTATCACTAGGCCACCAGAGCGCTTGACCAATTAAATCAGAATCTCTGGCCTTTCTCAAACATCAATATTCTGCACACTCTCCAAGATATCCCAAAGGTTACCCAAGGTTGAGAAACTGGTCCCAAGTAGACGCAAAATATACAAACGCATTCCACTGCTCAGCTGGGAATCAGGACTCAGTCCTGCTATCAGCCTTAATAAGCTTTCCGTTTTCTCATCTGCCAAGTGACAGGCTGGAGATGGTGATGAATCAGGCCCTTCTGGGTCTAAGACTCTATGACTGAATAATGTTCACCCAGTTGCAAGCAGTGTGGCAGAAGCTGGAAATGCAGAAGCACACTGTCTGGCTTAGAAGAATTCACCTAAACTACGTGGCACAGACATGTTCAGTGAGCATCAGGGGGTGGAGAAGATGATGAGCAAATCACGTTGCTATGGAATCGACTTTGAATCAGGACCACTCCATGTGTCTGAGTACAAGTATGTTCCGTGGGCCTTTCAAACTGATTTATCAAAAGTAGCTTACCAGGCTCTTCTTCCAAGGTACCTCTGGGAAAACATAAACTTTCTACCTTTTGGTTACCAAACATTACCTGTTTATACCATCCAGCAACTTCAGAAGACAGAATTCAAAAAAGGAAGCTCAAACTCATGGCCGTTGAACTGCTTCCAATTCAGAGTGACCCTACATTGGGATTTAGAGGCTGTACATATGGAAGGAGACTGACTGCCCATCTTTCTCTCATAGAACGACAGATGGATTCTAACCGCTGGCCTTTCTGTTAGCAGCCCAGCACATTATGCACTTCACCATTAGGACTCCTTCCAAAAGAGAGAAAGGGTATTCAAACACCCCCGAGTCAGGGAAAGCTGCTCAAAGAAGACTAGCTTTGCTAAGATGAGCTCAATGGATGATGATGTTGTCACGGGGCAAGGAGGTCGGGTAGGGGCTTGTGATGGCTAACTATTCGACGGAAACAGCAGACACTGGATTCACTGACATTAATAATAAAATTGCAGAGGCAAGCCGGAAAGTATAATGCAGCCATTGTTCCCTTGCACGGGGCCCTAGCAATCTGCAGGGTGTTCTTCCTGGTTTGCTCACCACTCCCCGCCCCCCATCCCTAAACAGTGACTCAGCCAAGAACCAGACTCAAAAGAATCACTTCCCCTTCTCAGGGATCAGCACGTGCACAAACACACAGGCTTTCCCCTACTCCACCCACCATCACCAGGCTCCTGCCGTGGCCACCACCCTCCAGATTTCACCACCTTCCTGATTCCGGTTCAACAAACCAGCAGTGAGCAACCAGGGAAAGAGAGCTCAGCCTCACTGCAGGGCAAAGAGTAAGAGGCTTCTATTTTAGTTAGAAGTTCACAGAAGTCCTCATGTTATTTGGTATAAAGCAGACTTGAGCTTGATTCTTAGACTATGAAACCTATGAAAACCGCAGCTTCTGCATCTAAGAATTGGGGGTGACATAAGACACCACTTCAGAGAACCATTGTGCGGTCTGAAAAAGAAAATGCACATTAAGTACTTGGCTGCATAATTTCCTGGCTGACTGTGCTCCAAGTGTCAGCCATCAGTGTGGAAAGAGAAGAACAATGTCACTAGTGGAATTTAGCCCAGAGATGAGCCTTTCAGGGACCAGTGGGCACACAGCCAGCCAAGGATCTCAAGTCAGTATCTCAGGGATGTAAGGAAAGCATGCAAAAAGTTCCGGTGGATATGGAATCTCTGCTCCATTAATGCTGGACCACATCAGAATAAATCTTGGCACAAAAGATATCTTTAAAAGGAGAATGACAGAAATCACTAGACAGAGTTTAGTGGGTAGATGTCAGGTGAAGGTAGGAAAGATTCACTGGAGACTTGAGGAGATGGGGTAGTAACTGACATAGATCAAAAGTAATTATATAAAATAAAACATGTATGAATGATTGTAGGAAGCACAATGTAAATGGGAAAATTGTATAAAACACAATATGCATGAATGAAACACAATTTAAATAAATTTCTGTATACAAACCAATTTAAACAAAAACAACAATATGGAACACTGCATTTGATTTTTGAGTGTGCACAAGCCTCTCTTTGCAGTCATCTTCATTTACCACGTACTGTTTTACTTTTAGTGAGTGCCTACTACATAGCTAGCATTGTTGTAGATTCTTCACAATTTAAAGTAAAATAAGAAATGCCCACAGTCCTCATAGAGCTCTTGGGCAGATTTAATAAAGGTGTGTGGTACAATCAGTTGTTTGTCAAGATGGCTTTTCTAGCCCACAGCTTTGACTTTCACTACATGCCTGGGGAGAACTATGCTAATAATGTGAGCATCATTACTCTTCCACGTGAACAGTATGTGGTGGGTGGAAATATACAGATATGGTGTGTGTGCAGACACTAGCGATGGGATTGGTCAGTCTTGTCTCCTGCTGGGCTTATATTGAGCTGGTTTAGAAACAAGGTGCTAAGAATTTCACTATCAAAAGAAAGAAGCCAAGAATGCAGTTTGCATCCTTCAGGGACACAGATGTCTGTGTGAGATGGAAACGGACCAGAAATTGACACATCACAGCAGAAGAGAAGCAAGACCTAACTGTCAACCCACAGAGTCAGAGCCATAGCCTTGACCCAACCTGCTGGAGGACTGGGAGGAGATACCATCATTGGCAGGACAGAGGGCTTTTTAACACCGATGGGGATTTGAGAGGCTGGAAGTCAAAGAGCCTGTGTGAACACTTCAGAAGCTGCACTGACTGAATAACTGTGTCCTATTTCCAAGCTACATACTGACTTCTCTACTAAATCTCACAACTTTGAGTATGGTTCTATGAGTTCTATATGGCCATTCCAACAGATTAGCAGCAGAGAAGTGAGAGCTCAGGGAAGGATAGCTGGTGTTAGGAACTGACAAAAGTAGGTGGAAGCATATCTGACCTCGAACAAACTGGTTTGATGCAGTAGATGTTGGATGGAGACTGTTCCCCTTTGTGCCATTAGAGAAGGTCAGGCCAACCCTACACCAGCCACATTCTTTTTACAAGGGGGAGAACAGAGTAGGATCCCTTCAATTCTGTCCTGCCAGGAAAGAGCAGAAGCCCAGGATCATATTACTTAATACTTAATAAGCAAGGGAAGCAGGGGCTTACTTGTGTTTGCTTACTAATCTGCAGTGGGCAGATTCATGTGTGTGTGTGTGTGTGTGTGTGTGTGTGTGTGTATACTGTGGTGAACGTTGTGTGAAATTGTTCATTACAGAATTGTAAATAAACATGAGTAATTCTGTGCTTACTCTGCTTATTGATTATTAAGTAATCCATCCTTGCTGATGTACTAAGAAAGAAAAATAATTCAAAAAGTTCAACCTTAAGTCATATACTCTATGCACAACAACGCCATGCTAAAATTACACACGGTGCCCTTAACCATTTACAAAAGGCTCTAGACCCTGCAAAGCAGGTAGTAAAATGCCCATTCCAAAGGTGGGGAAACCAGAGCTCAAAGACTAGGCTTGCTCCAGAGCTCCTAGCACTCAAGTGGTAGAGCCTAGATTTGAACTCAGTTCTTCTGACAACCAATCCCTTGCCCCCTGGATGTAACCATAAGGTCTCAGTCAAGACCTGTCAAGTCATACTCACCATCCGTATCCGTTCATCCTCAAGATTCCTGAGCACAGTGGCAAACTCCTGCAAAGACCCTGCTGGAAAAGAAAAATGGGCCATGAAGCAGAAGGAGGGCAATGGGCCTCTGGGAGCCTTCCGCTCCAGCTAGAGCAATTTTTACTTAAATCTCTTAGTGCACTGAGTGGCCTAATGTCAACTGCTTCCCAAGTTTCCCTTCCTTTTAATCATTACACACTAAGGATAACCCCAAAATACAGGATAACTCCACTTGGCACTCTGGCTAGGCAAGAATTTCTTCCAGGAAATTAAGTGTGCTCGGGCCCCTAGCTGGAAGGGGCAGAATTCCACTTAGAAGGTGAAGGATTTCCTGCCCTGGAGCTGACCCCTTTAACCTTTGTTGTGGGGCTGCGTCAGAACTCAACATTTTCTTTGGCACCAGATCTAAACAAACAGTGCCATTGGCAATGCAAGCCACCTTTGTGACTTCTCCTTGGGTTGCTCCTCTCTGAGTCCTCAACCTACTTTACGGAACAGAAAGGAGCTCGGAGAGGTAGTCAGAGGTGTAGAGTCTCCTTCACCAGAATTATCAGTAAAGGTGCTAAGTATCCAGTGCAACAACCCTGTGGATAACTAAGGACACTTGCACCACACTGTGAAAAGCTTGCAGACATCTAAGAGTTAAACTAATGCATATTCATTGATGCATTTCTCAGCTGTCTCCTAACTATCTTTGCTTATCCCCAGACCCTGCCTGTTCTGTATAGTACAGGGTCTCAACAAACATATCATAAATTAATTCAGTTAGCAAAACCAGTATTTTTCATCTGTTTCAATGCAATAGAACTGTTTCAAATGAATATCTAACTAATCATTATATGTAGGACAACAGCCCAGAATAAGAGATACATCATTGCAAAGAAGACTGGGGGAGGGGAATTAGGTAATTGTGCAACAATGAATGAAAATTTTTTTAAAAAGGGAGGTGGTAAAAAGGGGGAAGGGAAAGGGAGGGGGTAAAAAGAGCAACAATGAATGAATGAAAATCTAACTTCTCTGTAAATTTTCATTAAAATCACAATTAAAAGAAAATTTTATTAAAAAAAAACAACCCCACAATAATCTTTTGCTTGCATACTGTACTCAAGATGTACCAAATAAAATAATAGTCAGATCTAAAGAGTAGGGCTTGGTAAAGAGAGATGGCTTGATAGTAAAAATGTCTGAGCTCAGTACTACAGAATACAGGCAGGCGGTGAAGTGTGGAACAACATAAACAAAATGATAAATGGTGACTCACCCTAGCCTCTGGTGAGGGGAAGAAGAGGGGGTGGGGAGGTGAGGACCACAGGAAGCTGGGCACTGCTGTCACACCCAGTTTGAAGAGAGAAGTGACAAGCAGCTTACCCAGCTTTAGACAACTGCTGCTGTGCTACGGTGGGGGACCCTTGGGCAGTATCTCTGACTTTTCAAAGAAAGCTGGAAATTTATATACATTCCATGTATATAGTAATTTGATTTTGGGGGGCCAAAAGCCAAACAATCAAAAAAGAAAACCCACAGGAACCTAATTTCAGACCACAAGTTATAATTTTGCAATCTCAGGTCTAACTCTTCTCTCATCTCCCCTACCTACATTTTGCTTTTGTTCTCAGTACTTGGGAGTAGGGGAGAGGAGGAGAGAATGTCACCAAACCAGTCAGAAGAACAAAGTAAAAAGAAGGTGGGGACAGCAGTCTCACAGGAAAATCTCACGTTTTCTCCTGCAGGCCTGAGAACACGGAATTTCCATATTCTGGGAGATTTCCAGAATACCCAAGCCCTGAGCCACCCCATAACTCTGCCCCCTCCACAGCTACTGTGGATGTCTTTATTTATTAACTTCAGCCACATCCTTTCCCAGGAAAAATGTCCTGCTAGGACACTGACAGTGTGCCAAACAAGGGATTTGTTTCTTATGGAAGGCTAGTACTTACCTATACACATTTCGTCATCCGTTTCTGCATCTCCAATGCACTGAAATTTAAATTCATTTAAAGAATCTGCAAATTTCCGCTTTGCTGAAGACAAATCTAGAAAGAAAAACAGAAAAACATGAGTTTCAGGGAGCTGGTGGCCTAGATGCAAAGAAGCTGCACTGCAATCCCAGAGGTACACGGTTCGAGTCCACCAGATATTCTGTTGGAGAAGGAGGGGCAATCTCCTCCTGTACCAGTCAGATCTGATTTGATGGCACACACACACAAAATAATAAAATTAAAAAAACAAAAACATGAGTTTCTAAAATATAGACTTTCCTATTTGTTCACTTTTACTCTGTTAATATAGCAGATGTGTTCCTGAGCCCATTAAAATATACATTTTGTGTGTGTATGTGTATGTGCATGTATATATGTATAAGTATCTGTATACACAGTTATAAGGAGATCTGATGGCTTGGTGTATAGCTAAGGAGCTCTGCTTCCAGTCCAAAGGCACAAGGCTGGAATCCACCAGCTGCCACAGAAGAAAGATGGGCAAGCTCCTCACAATTTATTAATGTTGAAAACCCACTGGGGGGGGGGGGTCAGTTGTAAGTCAACTCCTACCTGATGGTACACAATGACCACCATCACATATGTATATAGTCTCTCTGTGTATGCAGGATCAAAACCTCACTTTTCCCGGGACGCTGTACACTCACAGCAAGCTCCATTAGGTTTCCGGAGGCAGTAAACGCAATGCATGGTGACTGCTCATCTTTCTCCCGAGGAGCAACTGATGAATTTAAACTACTAGAGACACACAGGCTTTGGATAAGCAGTATAACTGGCTATAAGAAGCCACCACCAGAGTTCCATAAATACGAATATAGTCCGTACATGTTAGTGTGTATGTGCGAGCAGATACAGATATAGATACAGCAATTCAATATAGCAAATATCTATTTATAATATCAAGCACTTTCCTGCTTCAGAAGCTTATGTAGTTATATTTGCTTTAACAGTGCTTGGCATAGCTATAATTACACAATGGGTCCCGGTCATCCCATTTGACACATGTGGGAACTGATAGGTCTAAGGAGGTCGCAGAGGAGCCCGGGTCAGGGCCCATGCAGCACCCACAGCCCTGCAGGTCTGGACAGCCAAGGACCCTCTAAGAGTGCCGATTATAGCTGTTTAAATGTGTGACTTCACAACCCCTCCCCCCTAGGTCTGAGTGATGCAGATAATTAATATGCTCAGCCGCTAACCAAAAAGTTGGGAGTGAGTCAACCCAGAGGGTCCTAGGAAGAAAAGTCTAGCATTAAAATAAAATTTAAGCTGCTGGAAATTCTGAGGAGCACAGTTCTACTCTGAGACTGACTCGGGGGTCTAATGAGGCAGAAGGGACTTCGTAGTTCCTGACCTATGGTACTCATCTGGCTCCACAACACAAGCTGATGTTAGCTTGGGTGTCCTGGCAAAGCTGAAGGCAAGGGCTTGGCACAAGGCCAGCTGACTTCCTGTGTCAACCCAAGCACAGCAGAGAGCGTGTCCTCAGAACCCTCCCTGAACAGTCTGACAAATTCCTCCACAAACAATTTCCCCAGGTCGCCACGCTCTACCACATGAACGAGGCCTCAGCGATGTTTGGGGTCGGGGCAGAAACACTCCCCACACATGGTGTCTATAAAGAAAGCTCTCTGAGGTCCTTGTCAAATTTTAAAAACAAGCTTTCATATAATGAAGTAATAAAAGCCAATGATCCTTCGTGAGCCCTTGGCTTCTGTTCAAAGTATAAACCATCCAGGTACTTTTTAAGTGCACTGGCAGACACTGCTCAGTACAAATGTACTTAACTGAATTCTGTGTGCAGCCTTCCTGCAGATTAGGCTAATCATTCAAATTACCCTGCTACATGTTACCCTCATCGAAGGGGAAATGGCATTTTATTGAAATTCCCAAAGGAGGCAAATATGAAGCATAACTGCTAACAAGGCCTGACTTTAATAAAATATTCTAGAAGGGAGGAAAAATATCTGTATTCTGGTTTCAGAGACCAGTCTAGCAAACACATACAGAAATATAAATGTCTATGAGCTCAGCATTTTTTTCTTTTTCATCGTCAGGCTGGTCCCGAGATGAGGAGCTATGTCTTTCGTCTCCTGAATTTATATCTTCTTCTCTGCGTACCTGACAGTGCTGACCCCTCAGTATGTGAGAAATAAATGAGTGTATGCACATCCAGTCCCTGTGCTCCGAGCCCAACTTCATTCCAAGCAATGGCTGCTGGTGGAGAGGCCAGGCCCGTCATGCTGGGCTGTGGATACAGGAAGGAGACCAGCAGTCCCAGCTCTTGAACTGCCCTCTCATCAGCTCTGATGATGTGGGTTCTACCAAACTGGGGCTTGAGTAAGGCACACTATACCAAAAGGCAGGCAAGCAGGGACTGGAGAAGGACAAGGCAGGTGCAAAGAACCAGTAATGTTCTCTCCCTCTCTTCATATTTCCACCACATCCATGCATTGTTGTTGTGTACCACTGAGTTGGAACTGACTCATAGCTGACCCTCCAGCAGCTTTTCAGAGGCAGTAAATCACACGGGAGGAGAATGTCCATCTTTCTCCTGTGGAGCAGCTGGTGGCCTCAAACCATGTGCCTTCAGGACTGCAGCACAGCTTCTTGCCACTAGGCCACCAGAGTCTTTGCCAAAGTCAAGATGCTGGCAGAGGATTCTGGCTGCACTCAAAACTGACCAGTCCAAGCTAAGGAACTCAGAACACAAGCCTCTCTAGAGCAACTCAAGACAGAAACAGATGCATTTGAGAATCTGAACTGCAGGAAGGAAAGAGTCCTGGTGGGACAGGAGTTAAACTGGTTGGTTGCTAACCAAAAGGTGGGTGGTTCAAAGCCACAAACCACTCCACAAGAGAAAGATGTGGCTACCTGCTTTCACAAAGAAGTACAGCCTTGGAAACTCTGTAGAGTCACTAAGGAGTCAAAAGCATTTTACAGCAGTGGGGCTAAGAAGGAAAGAAAGAGAAATCTAAAGCCGGAGGAAGAAGAGAGAGAACTTCAGTATGGAAATATGTCCCTCAAGAATGCCAAAGCATGGTTCAGTGTAGCTGAAATTGCAGACCTGTTGTATTTATTCCACAGTGTTGTTGCCCTGATGAGGACTCAGGAAGGCAGGCCTAGATAAAAGCAGGTATGTTTCTCTTCCAGGTAACTGTCCTGTGCCTCTCCAGCAGAGCAAGAAAGACCCAAGCTGGACAATCATCTCCACAAAGCAAGGAGAAGAAAAGGAGAAACATAACCGGGTTTGGGAAAGTTCCAGGTTCCAGCATGAAAAAGCTACACCTGAAAAGCTGAGCGGCCACAGGCAGCTGCCAATGAGGATCAAGGAGCAGCTAGTCTCACACAATGGGCTATTGTGGGGCCGTCCTCAGGAGGACACGGGAAGGGCCCACTGAGCCAGGTCCAGGCCTTTTACTGGATGACCAGAAGGTAACTTGATTTCACTGTTTAGAGGCACAGACATACCCGCTACAGCTCAAACCAGAAAAGCAATGTGGGTTCCATGCAGCTGATAAAAGGGGCCAGCCCCTTTGATAGGTGGCTTCATGGTAAGGAATTGTGTTGCCAACCGTAAGGCACACAGCTACTCTATGGAAGAAAAAGGAGCAATCTCCTCCTGTGCAACTGACTGCCTCTGAAAACTCGCTGGAGGGTCAGCTATGGGTCAGTTCTGAACTCACAGTATACAACAACAACAACAATGATCTACTGATGGAGACTGGGAGTGGGCACTGGAGTCAGTACTGGGCTGGAGAGCAGTGAGGGCAGGAGAGCAAGGAAAGAATTCCAGTACTGGAAAATTAAAAGACAGTCAGCACAAGCTTGAGTGTTACCTGTTATTTGGCTTGCTCAAAATCCATTCCCCAACTGTTCAGATAAGGGCCTTGTGGCATGAACTATAAGGAGTCGCACTGCCAACTAACCTGGTGGTTTGAAGCCACCAGCAGATCCATGTGAGAGAGAGAGAGAGAGAGAGAGAGAGAGAGAGAGAGAAACAAACTCTTCTCATGTAATTTATAGCCTCGGAAACCCAATGGACAGTGAACTACACATCGGTTCTGACTCCACAGCCATGAGAGGTGGCAGGATATAATCTCTAGAAAGAATTTATGCATTTTTGTAAAATGATCCTTCTCCACTTGCATTCCATAGGGCTCTGGCCATCAGTTAACACATGCCTTTCTAAACTATGCATTCACCCCATCATTACCGCTGTGGCTTCTGGGTTTAAGTTTCAGCTCCACCACTTAACCAGATATGCAAAAACTCCTCATTAGTCATGGTGTCCCTGTTACAGCATCTGTCAAAAGCTGTCAGTCTGACTTAGCCCATGGCTCTGTCAGGAGAACTCGGTGACACACACTGTCGGTATAAACACCCTGTACACCACAGACCTCAGGTCTAGGCAAGGCTGGGCTACTCTCTCCTAGTATGTGACTCTTTTGGTAACAAGATCTACAGAACTACTGAAGGTGTGACGATCTGTGTTTACTGACCTAACAGCACACAGGGACGCTCTGGTGGCCTAGTGAGGAGCTGCGCTGCCATCCCAAAGGCATGCAATGCAGTTCAAACCTACCAGCTGCTCCATAGAAGAAAGGTGGGCAATCTCGTCCTGCGTGATTTAAAGCCTCTAAAATCCCACTGAAGGGTCAGTTCCAACTCAACCTCACATAGCAACAAAAGCACACAGCCCCTAAGAAATCCACTGTGGCTCAATCCTAAATTCTTGAAGAGAGATCCTTACGGCATGTGGGAGCAGCATGCGACCTCAGTCTCACTGAGATAAACCTCTCTCTATTACCTATAATGAAGCAGGAGACAGCAGAACAAGAAGAGTCTAATGTCATTGCTTATACACTAAGTTTGATTAGACATTGTGATAAACTACTCATTCTAATTCACATTCTAAAGCAAAATGTCTACAGATGAATGAATGAAAAACCAGTACCATTTGTAAACTTTCACTCAAAAAAAATTACAATTTTTTTTAAATGTCATTGCATCTTGACTACTTCACCCCAAAAGGATGG